GTGTGTGTGTGTGTGTGCGCGAGGCAGGGGATTTGTACAGCTGAAGCTAGACATGGACTGCTTTAAATTAGCTTGTTCTCCCCTCCAGGGACTATAGCTTAGATGTAGAACTCTTCTGCGACTCTCCGGAGAAACAACCATATGTCTGGAGCCTTGGAGAAGTCTGGAGAGCAGTGCTGAGGCAGATTTGTCATTTTCAGCCTCAGAATCTTGTTTCTTGCTCATTTTGACTAGTGGACTTGTGGCTGTTGTGCTTGTAGTGCTTGGATGAGTTGGACTTCTTCAACTAAGTGAGTCGTGCTCTTATAGAAGTGATTTAGAAAACAAAACATGATTTAAAAAAAACACATTTCATAATCTTTTCTTCTTTATTTTGGATTATAGGTTCAATGTAAAACCCACACAAACATGTCTTGGAATCTTGGTTTTGGTAGTTGTAGAATATAAGCTTCTATTTTCTGGGTTAAAGGCAATGGGGGGAGGTTTCTAGACTGCTTCTGTTCTGGTCCAAGTCGAGGATTAACAGACTGCCTCACAAGCTCCAGATGCTGCCTGAAAGACTTGACAGCTAGCAGTAGAAGAACAAATTCAGAGAACAAAAAGGAAAGAGAAGAGAGGGACAGAGGGGGACATGTTCAGGGTTAGAGCTGAAGCCACTCAAACTCCATCCTTTCTCTTCTGATTTTACTTCCTTGGGCTTTTTTCTCTCCCCTTTTACCCCTTGCTCATTATCTTACTCACCCACTCTATGTTCCCTCACCCCTCACTTTCTTTCCAGTCTGTTCATTTCTCTTCCCTCTAACCCCTCTCTTCATACTCACTCTCTCTCCATCCATTTGGTGGAACAGTGCTGCTGATAATGCCTGTAATTGGAGTGACTCACACTTTTCCAGTGTGTTTGGACCAGATAAAGAATATTGTCAGCATTTTGCCGACATGGCCTCTGCTGGCAGAATTAAATGGACTCTGTTCTGTTCTGTCTGCAGCAAATTAAAAGCCTCTCAATTCATCTGTTCTCGCCTAAGGCTCACAGGGGCCTCCTATTCACACAGAAACACCGTGGAGAGGGGGAGGAAAAGAATAAGAGAGATTTCCCTCTTCCCCAAGAAGCACCAGTCTTTTCGTTTTGTTGAAGTCTGCACTCAGCCAGTGTTAGATGGAGACGGCGAGGGAAAGAGAGGTCAAGACTGATAGTCTAAGGAGAGGTGAAGAGCAGCTCAGAAGATAGTCAGATTCATTATTCGGCTTGTCAACTTGCAGCTGTCTCCTGCTGTCTTTGTACTTCAGCGTCTCTGCGTAAGAAAGGACTTTGTCTGCATTTGTGTGTGCATATAAATGTGTGTGTGTTTTCATGCATTCACGTGACGGGGTTGGAGTGCGAATCTGAGTGTTTTTGGCTGCTAGGTTGTAGTAGTCGCTGCCAGTCAACACTTCAGAATAAAGTAGTGGCAGATGGGCAAAGAAGGGACAGAATGCTGGGGCCAGAGAGGCCCATCAGGCACTGGACAGGGCCCAGGAAGGGCAACAAGTAGTAGAGTTAAAGGAAAACTACAGACTCATAGAACCTGGATTATTAGTTTTGGTCATATTTGCTATTGGTAATAATAACATTTAGCCATTAAGGTAATTGCCAAGATCTGGGAACAGAGCACCATTTGACAAAAAGGATGTGGAACAGATGATCAGACAGGTTTCAAACCGCCGGGTTACTTATTTATTGATATAATAAAATGATTACCCAGTATCCCTTGTAAAAATCCATATAAGTTTATAGCCAGACTGCTTCAACTTTGGTCTACAGTACTTACTGTTGTTGCACACAGTTTTTCTGTCTAATGAGGGATTATAACCTACATTTCTGATGCACATATTTTACTTCCAAATAAAGTGGTTTAGATAGTCTGGCTAAACTGTTTGCTTGTTTATAACCTGATGGATCGTGTTTCTTTTCTCAACATGGTTGTAGTGAGTTCAAGTTCACAGCAACTTACTTAGAATTTTAATTTAATGGAAATTATTAGTGCTTTTAAACCAGTATGATTGACGAAGGAAGTGGTTTGAAGAGGTGGGATTGTTCTTGTGTCCTTGCAGACACACAATATTGACAGGAAGCAGGAAGTGTAGAGCAGGTCTCCCCCGTTACCATTGGCAACATGTACTCAAGGCCCCCGATCAGAAACAAGCTCATTCTCATGCCTACTGAGAACTCTTGCAAGGTTTCGCCTGCCAAGAGTAAACACAACCTAAGTGAAGCAAACCTCTTTCTTCCTCTCTTTCTCCCCAGCTCTCTGTGGGTGTGTGTGGGATGTTGTGTCAGGGCTAAAGCCCATCCCTCTCCCATGAGCCTGTGTGCCCACACACACACCTGGCGCCTCCACGCACACACCCGGCGCCCACGCACGCACAGCCGGCACTGACGCTGTGTACTGGACCCTCGGAGCCCAGCGGAGCAAAGCGGAGCGGAGTCTAGCCCAGTTGGAGCCTGAGGATGTCAACAGAGACAGAGCTACAGCCAGCGGTCAGGCCCAGCAGCGTCAGACGGGACTCCAAGAGGAAAGGTAAGTACAGTCTTACACCGGTTGTACAGTTTGAAACTATGTTAAGGAAGTTATTTATTACTTTTGTTAATAAATACTTAAGTTGTTTCCTTATTACTCTAAAAGGAAAGAAATCTCTTTACTACTTACTTTTAGATTAGACCAAATCCTTACCTGTTATTTGTACTTTGGTTAGAATTTGTCAAAAAAAAACAACCTGATTCTTACCATAGATACAACTTCTTGCACCATGTTTGAAAAACTTTCGTTATTCTCATCTTTACATGGCAAAACATTGAAAAAAGAGAATGTTCCGACATATCCAGGCATCCAGCCTCCTCTGTCATGTTGTACTTGCTCTTGACAAAAGCAGAAAATGTGTCACACTGCTGCATTACTGTGAACAGTATATAACAAAAACTAATTACCTTCTAAGGCTGTACCCTTAGTACTGGTAAAAAACTGTTGTTAGACACAAACACACATTTGTCAGCTACTTTTTTCTCTTTATTAATTGTGTCTTGATGATGGATTTGGGTCAGACAACAGAATGCAGGGCTGCTGTTGTTCGTAGCTAATTAACAGGTGTGGGGGTATTACGGCACAGTAGCTTGACACCAAACAGGTGCGGGGATGTTGTGGTTGTGAGAAGCAAACAGATCCAGGTGTGAAAAGCTCCAGAGGCAGGTAGCTAGCAGGTGTATGAGAGCAGGCCTGGGTGGTCTCAGAGCAGAGGTGATGCCAGGGGCCAGGCTGGCAGCCATCACCCAGCTGCTCGGTGCCACCTGCCCAACTGCGAGAGCGACGCCTAGCATTCTCTGAATAAGCATCTGATTGATGTAGCAAAAACTCTGAACACCGTTGGGAACAACACTTATTGGATGCACACAACCACACGGAAACACACACACACACACACACACACTATCACCTGCAGCAGATGCCTCATTGCACACGGTGCGCTTCAGCCCCTGCAAACAAGCGTTGGTTCCCCCATATGCAGTGTGTGAGGGAAGGCTGAATGCCTCTCATGTCCTATTTAGAAACAGTATTGTTCTGCTGCAATGGAGATCATGTTCATCATTCAGACTGCTCTCCATATGTGGGGAGATGCAGACACACACACACACACACACTGGGACTGGGATTGAAGCCCAGAAGAGCATATGAGAGGAAAGATGAATGGTTTGCCTTCAGCATTCAGACTTGAGGGTTTTTAGCTTCTCCTCTCTGCCTTCTTCCCCTGTACGTGTGTGTATGTGTGTGTGTGTCTCTCTCTCTCACACAAACGTGCACAGACACACACCCACACACTCACACACTACATTTCACCTTGTCTTGTTTCTTGTATCTGCACCTCTTTTTTTAATGTTGTGTAGAATTTGAGCTGGGCTCACATTGAGTACTTATCTTTCTCTGTTCTGATCTGGGTCATTCTTCCTGACAGACACAGACACACACACACACACTCAGCAGGGTGATGAAAGTAAAATGCAATCATATACCACACACAAGCAACGAGCATGCTCTGGGAATAGGAAACTTTGCTAATGTTCCTTTTAGCAGGCTCATGTCTATGACCTGAAACATACAGTACCTACACATGTTTCTGTTTCGGTCCAGCCCACTTGCTTCTGTCTCACTCACTCTCTTTTGAGTAGCTGGATTTCAGTGAAAATAGATCCA